CAGATTGTTGATGATGAAGTATTTCTGTTACTTAGTTTTCTTTCTAACAGTCTAGCCCCTCTGCTGTACTACTGCTGAGGTCCACTCCAGGCCCTGCTTGTCTGGGGTACACCTGTAGCAGCTGCGGAACAGTGAAGGATGCTACCAGTTTCTTCCTCTGCTATCTTTGTCCCAGAATGATGCCCGCCAAATTTCAGTCTGATCAGTCCTTTTTGAGGTGACTCTTTGGATATACAGGGGTCAGGGAGCTGCTTGAGGAGACAGCCTGTACTTTATAGGATCTCGAGTGCTGAGCTGTGAGCTCCATTGTTCATTCAGGGCTGTTAGGCAGGTGCATTTAAGTCTGCTGCAGCAGAACTTATAAAACCCTTTTCCTCAGATGTTTTGTGTCAGGGAGTTAGGGCTTTCTTTATGAGTATCCATTGCACTGTCCTGCCCAGCTAGGAGGCAGTCTAGTAACTATTTGCCTGCTGAGGCTCCGACCTGCTACTGCGGGGTCTGCCCTGTTGCTGTGGGCTCCGCCCTGCTGCTGTGGGCTCCGCCCTACTGTCTGGGCTCTGCCCTGTTGCTAGTGGGCTCTGCCCTACTGTCTGGGCTCCGCCCTGTTGCTAGTGGGCTCTGCCCTGCTGTCGTGGGCTCCGCCCTATTGGCAGAGTCTCTCTGTTATGGTGGGTTGCCTCGACAACAGCAGGCTGCGTCATCAATGGGAGTGTACCTCAGTAGGTGCGGATTGCCTCGGTAGTGGCGGGCACCCCTCCCCCACTGAGCTGCACTGTCCTGGATTCAGCTGTGCCCGCAGTGAACCTCTCAACCCTGAGGGTTTTGAATCGCTGTTTTGTTTGTCCCGGTGGGGGTGGGACCCGTGGGGCCTGATCACCTGGCTCCCTGCCTCAGAGCCCTTTTTCTCTTTATTTTTTAAGTTGAATGGTTGACTCTCTCCCAGGTGTTTTAGTCGCCTGCTGAAAGGGCACTGGGATCTGTGTGATTTCTTGTGCAGCAACCCACGGCACCGGCTCAAATGTTGCTTCCTGGGAATCTTCTGGTCTGGCTCTCTGTCCAAGTCCTGTTTAATCACATGGATATGCTAATCTGCCCTCCCAGATTGCCGGTTTAACAGGGCACCCAGACCAGCGCGTTTTGTGCGGGGTGCCGCTGCGCTGCGGCACTAGCCAAAACGGCTGCGCAAGCTGAGAGGGCTGTGCTGGCATCCCCTGTCTCTCCTACACCTGGGAATTTCCCCATTCTGTGGGCAACAGAGATCCGTCTGGAAATGCAGCTAGGACTCACCCTCTGCGCCGTCACTGAGAGCTGCAATCCTGAGTTGTTCCTACCGCACCATCTTGGAAATCCTCCTTAAAATCTATTTTGAGTGATTCAAGTCTAGTAACTTAGCAAATTTTATTTTAATATTCTTTCAAGTATGTAGCGAAAGGTGAATGCTTTTTAAAAATGTAACATTCAATTAGACTTTTGCAGTGAATTAAACACCCCATTTGCTAGTCATTAAAGCATCCCAGAGTGGTGTGGGAATTTTGGCGGTGGGGGTAATTAAAGTCCTTGAAAGACTTGGAGTCAAGTCTCAGATAGGCAGGAATCCTGACACCTGTTACTTTATGTGACACTCGATAAAAAGTAGCAGTCTGAACACTGATTGAAATCACTAAGGGACTTGGTGTGTAGTAAGAGGAGGAACTCGAGACCAATCTGATTTCACATACTGACTCTATTCCTGTTACTAGATGTGTGACCATCTAATGTGTTACTAGACCTTCAGTTTCCTCACCTGTAAATGGAGAATAATAATACTTATTTCATAGGATATTTATGAGGATTGGTTTTAATAATAAATTTGGAAGATCTAGAATGAGCCTAGTAGCTGTCAACAACAGTCATATGGCTTCCATGACACAGCAACTAAACCAAATTATTTTTATGAAGGAGAGATATCAAAGCGCTTTTATGACAGTAGAGAGATTTTATGATGAAGCTTAAATAGATTTTAATATTTTTATATTTTGCAATAACTGTAATATAGATACAATTTATTTAGGATGAAATCGTACGTTGACCACGTGACCAAATAATGACTGTTTCTTAATGTAATATAACCACTTTATTTTTCTTGAACAGTAGCCCTTTAGAAAGAAAATAATACAGCTAGATCCTTACTTTGTTTTAACTAAAATACAGTCCAATTGGATTAAAGATTTAAATATTTAAAAAATTTTAAAGTAAGGGCAAAAGATATCAGGGAAACTTGCATATATTTTTGTGTGACAACAGTTTGACTATGCAGGGCATAATGTCTAGACACCAGAAATAGATAGAAGGATAAGTTGGATTGAAACCAGTGGCAAATATGTATGAGTCTGCAGCAAACTTGATCTTTGCCTTCTTGAAGAAAAGAATTCAGCAAAAGGGAAGAAACAAGTTTAAGGCAGAGGGAGAGACCAAGGCAAGTTTTAGGAGTGAGAGTTTATTCAAATGTTTTAGACAAATACCCCCATTCAAAAGTGGGTGAAGAATGTGAACAGACATTCCTCAAAAGGACACATTTATGCAGCCAACAAACATATGAAAAAAAATGTCACCATCACTGATTATTAGAGAAAGGCAAATCAAAACCACAATGAAATACCATCTCACACCAGTTAGAATGGTGATCATTAAAAAATCAGGAGACAACAGATGCTGGAGAGGACATGGAGAAATAGGAACACTTTTACACTGTTGGTGTGAGTGTAAATTAGTTCAACCATTGTGGAAGACAGCGTGGCAATTCCTCAAGAACCTAGAAATAGAAATTCCATTTGACCCAGCAATCCCATTACTGGATATATACTCAAAGGATTATAAATCATCCTATTATAAAGATACATGCACACATACGTTTACTGTGGCACTGTTCACAATAGAAAAGACTAGGAACCAACCCAAATGCTCATCGATGATAGACTGGATAAAGAAAATGTGGCACATATACACCATGGAATACTATGCAGCCATTAAAAAGAATGAGTTTGTGTCCTTTGCATGGACATGGATGAAGCTGGAAACCGTCATTCTCAGCAAACTAACACAAAAACAGAAAACCAAATACCGCATGTTGTCACTCATAAGTGGGAGTTGAGCAATGAAAACACATGGATACAGGGAGGGAAACATCACATGCCAGGGCCTGTCAGGGGGTGGGGTTGTTGGGGAGGGATAGCATTAGGAGAAATCCCTAATATAGATGATGGAGTAATGGATGCAACAAACTACCATGGCACGTGTATAACTGGATAACAAACCTGCATGTTCTGCACATGTACCCCAGAACTTAAAGTATAATAAAATAAAATAAAAAATGTTTTAGAGCAGGAGTGAAAGGCAGCAGTGTACACTTGTAAATGGGCCAAGTGGGTGACTTGAGAGATCCAAGTTCCCTGTTCAGCCCTTGACTTGGGGTTTTACACATGGGCATGGTTCTAGGGTTTCCACTTCTCCTCCCTTGATTCTTCTCTTGAGGTGGGCTGTCCACATGCACAGTGGCCTGCCAACACTAGGGAAGGGCTGTGCTCACAGTGTGTTTACTGAAGCTGTGCACATGTTCAGTTGAGGTGCTTTTCCTTACCAGTAGAGCGTTCTCAGAGGAAGTTTATACACCATGTAAACTCCACCATTTTGCCTCTTAGTGTGTATGCTTGAGCCCACTCCCTCAACTCATAAGAGCACCAGCCCCAGGTGTTTTCTATCTATTGAGAGAATGCCTTTTGCTGGCACTGGCTGCAGCCAATTATCATTTCAGAGAGATGGCTTAGCAACCACCTGACCATCGCCTAATGCTCGCTTGACATTTCCAGGGAGGTGGTCCTCTCCTGCACTCTTCATATCTGACTAACTACTTACTCCAACATGACAACAGAAACATTAAAATTTTTAAACTGCATAAACAAATTCCAAAGTCAAGCAACAAATTTGGGACATTTTTCATGGTACCCATAATGAAAAAATGACGATTACTCTAGTATACAAAGAGTTATTCTAAATAAATTTAAAAACACTACTTTGATTTTAAAATTGACAAAATGAATAGACCTGAAAAATCAATACAAATAGACAACAAATGTTTAAAGCATGTTCATGATTTTTCTAATATGAATTAATATGTCATTTTTCAACCATCCAAATATTGGACAATACTCATTTGATAGTTTATAGTTTTGGTTTGTGTGTGGTGAAGCAGGCACATCTGTTCATTTGCTGGTACTGTAAATTGCTGGAATGAAATTTGGAATACGTATACCAAAATTTAAAATGTATATACCTCTGCTAGTAATTTATTTACTGAATAAACTCAAAGCTATATGTATGCATTTAAGAATTTTCTTTGAAGGATTGGCCACACAGATTTTGACAAAAGTCTTAGATAAACATAAATCTTCATGATAGAGAAATAGTAAAATTAATAAGGTTAGTTATAGCCTTAACATAGTATGCTATTAGCCATTTTAAAAATAGGAGAGAACTATAATATGCAGATATGGATTGATTTACAAGCATTTTAATGTGAAAAAGTAATAAGTAAAAGTTTTCACTCTAAACTTACATTTATGGAGAGAAAAATAATTATAAATGTGGAGATCGGGTACATATTAGAAATTTTTCTGGAAATAATGTTTTTAAATGTGGAGAGTAGAATTAGGAATTTGAGTGTGGAATAGCAGGAAGGAAGGAATAATACCCATTAATGCTTTTCTGAACTATCTGAAAATTCTATGTTCATGTATGTTTTACTTTAATTTTTAAAAATTATTACACTCAGTATGATGATAAAAAATTATGTAAATTGTAAAAGACTAAGACTAAAATTAAATAAAATGTCATTGGAATCCAGCAGATTATGTTAGGTATTGAAAAACGTGTACAATATGCTCTTGAAAGATAACTGTCAAAATTACATTCTTGAGCTGAAATGATGCATGCATTTGTGTCTAATGAGCTTTATTTTCCCCCAGACAAAGTCAAAGGAAGATCAAGAGCAGGGACTCACTTTGATTCAGCCCGGAGACGGAGTCGAGCAGTCCTTTATCACATCTCTGGGCACCTGCAAAGAAGAGAAAAGAACAAATTGAAAATAAATAACGTAGGTGGTATGTGTGTACAGGACGAATGCTAGTGTTTCCCCTGGTGGCAATGTTTGACTCACTAAAGAAAGGCCTCAATTACCCATTTATTGGCTTGCCTAGATTTTTTTCCACTTTGGTTTGTGCTTTTCTATAAAGAACAAACTGGAAAAGGTCAGCAGTCATGAGGCATTTCGATAATAAAAGTGCTTAATCATAGTGTTATCACAGCCTAGAAATTAGTATATTATTGCAGTGAAGTACAATATGGTTCTAGGGACACTGAAAATTGGGACACACTGGTTACATTTTATGAAACCAAATGATGCAGCCAGTCATATTACACATTCATAGTTTGCTGGTTAAAATATCTCGAATTTAATTTTAGTTCCATCTGTTTTGCACATTATCTAATTCTACAAATGCTTTTATCCAGGGGAACGTGACCAAATCCAAGTCATTACTCCATTAAAAAATTTACATTTTATACAAAATACAGTTGAAAATTTCACAGTGAAACACTGGATTTACAATTATATGTCATATATTAAACAATTTTGGGAAAAGTCACATGTTTAGTAAGTTACAATAGAATTCCTTTCTGAAATATGCTGTTTATCTGTCAAAGTCACAACAAATAACCATGCCTGTACAAGGTGATTCTTTCCGATTTTACAGGACATATATCCTCCAGGATTTCACACTGAATTTCATAATTGGTGGTTCGCACCAAGAGACTTCACTGAGAAACCTATGTTTAAATAGAACAATGTCTATTTAATTGTAGATATTCAAAATTTTAAAATGATGTTCATGTCATTAATTTGCCTTATGTAATCATTAGAACACATATGTGGGATTGTGTAACAATAGGTTGCAGATTAAATACTCAACATCTAACTTGCGTAAGGAAAAAAATGTCATGCTCGCTTCGGCAGCACATATACTAAAATTGGAATGATACAGAGAAGATTAGCATGGCCCCTGCGCAAGGATGACACGCAAATTCGTGAAGCGTTCCATATTTTAAAAAAAAAGAAAAGAAAAAAGAAAAAAATGTCACATGAAACAATCAGAGCTTTTTTGGAATTGATTTAAGATCCAGAAGTTCTGGGATTTAGGACAGAGAGGGGAACCTTTGGCATTTTATTTTATACCTAGTGAGCGCAGGGACTACCTAATCTGACATAATCATACTTTGATAAAACAATACCATGCATTAGACATACAAAGTATTCATTTCTGTGATTATAGTGAAGAAGGAAAGATGTATGAACCCAGGGTGAAGAGCGAAGTCTGACATGAAAGTGATGCAAACCTGGCTCTACTTCAGTGCAAGTTCCTGGAAGCCAGTTCATGATATTTTGAATCATTTGTCCTTCAAGGACCATCAACCATGCCCATGCTGGTCTGCCATGTACCACTGTGGAGGGTCACAGTTTGCTTTTTTTTTTTCTTAATTCAATATAAAGGTTCTCTAGGGATAACTGTGCCTTAGTGTCGTATTGATTTCCCAGGAATCCAGGGAGAGGCTTGAAACAGTGCACGCCACTTGATCTATGGATCCTTCCACTGGTGCCTAGTTACATCTCCCTTCAGTTACTAAGTCAGCCTTGGTGACAGTAAGCAAGGTATAGGAAGAAACAAAGGTAACCACATCTGGGCTTGATCCCATGCAAACCAACCAGCAAAGCACCTAAACAAATATCCACAGATTTCGTAAGGCTGAAAGCTGACACTAACTTTTAGTGGAGAATTTAAGCATAGCAAGTATTAGTGAGCTTAGAAATGCATTTGCTGAGGATGCTGTTTTTCCCCTTAGATTCAACAAAGTACAAAGCAGTACTTAAAAATTTAATTTAAAAAAACCATAACTCCTGCTACTTAGCTAATTTGCTTAATTGCCATTCATTTAATAAACACAAATAACAGGATGGAGCATGAAAATAATACATAGTAATTTAAGATGACTAATCAGCAGTGACTCTAATCTGCAGGTAGTATCTACTCCTGAAGCAAAGTGTGGAATCAGGACTTGCCCTGTTCACGTGTTCACCATCTCCTTTCGAGGATAACAGAATAGAATGGCTAAGTGGCAGGTAGAAGGGAGAAGGAAGGAGAGGAAATGAACTGTATAGTTTATTGAATAAACAACAAATGTTCAAGAAATTCTGGCTCTAATAAAATTTGCCCACCCAAAAAATAATTAACATTTTTATAGTCCCTTGCTATTTACAAATTCCTTTTATGTCATATTATTTGATTCTTATAGCAAGCCAGTACTAGGTCTGATTTTTATTAGTTCCATTTTAATGAAGGAAAAAGACCCAACTTATTAAAAAATCTCAAAAGTTGAAGCAGCAGTTGTGGTACCCGGCCTTTAATTTTCTAATTTGGAACCACCATGCTTCTGACTCTTACCTTGCTGCTTCTCAGATACAATTCTGTGGAACAGGAATATATGCTTCAGCCATAGGCACATGAACTCATCAGGTCATTAGCAGGTTTGGGAAATCAGAATACAACATATTTTAGTCTGTCTCCAACTTTTTCTGATATGCCTTGAAAAAAGTGTTTTCAAAGTCTGCCTTCCTTGATTTATTATTCTGTCAATCAAATGAGAATGGGATGATGCAGATGTTTCCAACACAAAGAAATCTTTGGATGCTTGAAAGGAGAGTGCTACAAATGCATATTTCTAACGGGACAGTGGTGAGTGGAAGAAGAGGAGCATCTATTTTTTTCAGTCAGGTGATTGTATAAAGATGTTTGCAGAATTTGAGCTAACAACATTTCAAAATTTAAGTCTAAGTCTTAGATGTATTCAATTCTCAGTATCTTTCAAAAATATTTTTAAAATATGTTTTAAGTAGCCTACAAAATGAAACCATGTAATTTGTTTTCTGATTTGTACCGAAAACTAATATATTGCTGAACTTTTGCAACAGAACAACTAATGCCTCATGTAATCAGCATAATAAAAAAACCCCAAAACTTTACTTTTTGAGTTTCCCCAAATCATCAGCCCTAGGTATGGATACTCCCTCAAACAATGTAAAATTATAATTTCTGTAATATGATAGGAAAAACTTATTTGAATAGAAAATGAGATATTTCCCATGGTTTCTGATAATTATTATAGTAAATATTCAGGGAAAATTTGGATTAGAACCAATCATGTTATTGCAACTAGAAGTGTTTATCAATGATAAGAAAATTAATGGCTATAGACTTTAATTTCCACTTCCAATGTAATAGCCTGAATTTTTATGAGAAGCCCGATGGGGCTACTTCATTCTTCTCAGTTTTATGCCAAAGTCTACCTTTGGAATGGGTTTCTTGAAACCATAGAATTAGGCAAAGGAGACAGGACAAATATCAGGGAAGTGTATGAAACCTAGAGTCTTTGGCAGATGGGCATCTAAGGACCATCTGGAAGTAGTTTAACAGTGCCCCACCACGAAGTACTGACATTATTAGATGCCTGTGTGGGTTGAGTGAGAATATTAACAGGAAGTAGATACATGGATTGAGAACACCTACCAAAGAGAAATGCCAGAAAGGGGTGCATTAATATTAAGGTAGCAGAACTATTCAATCACTGACAGCCACCACTTAGAGCTAAGTGTTCCTGATCTTTCTGAACCTTTCTTGAATCCTCAGGTACTTCAGGATCCCTGAACACATCACATTAATTTGCCCTTCCCTCCGTGACTGAGACAAGAACACAACACTATGACCTGCAAATAATATGCATTCTGAAATTTTTAACTGCTCTGTTAATTCAACGAAACTTTCAAATATAAGTTTCCATTACCTATCTTGTATTTCTCATTAATTGAGGTCAAAGCAAGGTCTGCAAGTATCTGGTCACAGGCTTGTCAAATTTCCACACATGCTATTGTTGAGCCTCCCTTTGTCTCCTAGCAATAAGGGAATTGTTCATCAATTTGAACTGCATTCAGAGAGAAGTGCTTTTGCAGTTATCAAAAACTTCAGCTATTCTGCATTTAATCAGCTGCACAGTGAACATTGGCTTTCTCCTCCCATGACTTGAAATAATAACTCTTGAGTAACTGTTTCTTGTTTTACCATCTGAACAAGGTCTGGCCCATGTCAGAATACATCTGTGTCAATCAAGGTAATGAGGTTTGGGTTCCGAACTTGAAGCTTCACCAACAGCCACAATGCAAAAAAAAAAATGCATGTAGTTAGCACAACTTGCTTATATTTGGAAAGAAATGTAAACTGTTTACAATATAATGTTGGTCATATATCTATTCTTTTTGGAAAGAAAAGTGCAGTTGCTGTCATCAGTAAAATATCAAGTCAAATATGTTCTTTAGATAATGACTGTCATCAGAAATCTGTAAGTATACAGCATGTCCTCATGACAGTAGGAATGTCAATATAGCTTTGTGTTTATAATGTGTGTAGGATTACATGTAACTGTGAATGTTTTTTAATGACTTTTTAGGTAATGGTCTTTTTGTTTTTTACTGAACAAAATCTGGGTTACTCACTTAGCTTCTTGACTAAACTCTGCATATTCCTGTTCCTTAAAACAAAGATCTCTGCTCAGCTTTAGATGCTTAGATGTTTTGCATCATCAACTTTTAAAAGTCACTTGTAAGATACTGTGCTGTGTAGTGAATGATCCTCCTCACAGAAGTGTGTGTTTCAAGCTATGTAATCCTTGTTTCTAATGTTGTGTTTCTCCTTTCTTTCCTTTTTGTCTTCATCCACAGAATGTTTTTGTAGATAAACCAGCATTTCCAGAGTACAAAGTTTCTGACGCAAAAAAGTCCAAATTCATACTTTTGCATTTTAGCACTTTTAAAGCTGGCTGGGACTGGCTTATTTTGTTGGCAACGTTTTATGTTGCCGTGACTGTACCTTACAACGTTTGTTTTATTGGCAATGACGACCTGTCCACAACTCGGAGCACAACAGTCAGTGACATTGCTGTGGAGATTCTTTTTATTATAGGTAAGAAACGACAGTTGCTTTCCTAGGATATTTGCATATGGGAAGTGAAGTGTGTTCCAGATTTTTCTGACATGAATTTGAACTAAGATCCATTTGCATGGGCATGATTCAGCTTCTGATGCAAATTCTGGAGAAGCACATACTGTATTTGGATGTCTGAAAATTGCCTCTCCCCCTGTCCCTTTATTCAAACAGATCTAAACTGATCTCCTGTGTTTCTATACTTATTTCATCCAAAATGGGCAAAAAAAAAGATTTAACAGCTGTTTTGTTTGTACTCTCACATCCTTCATGATCTTAAACTATGTAGGGTCAGAGATGGGGTTTGAGAAAAACCCACCAGTGGTGTGATAGTGGTCCAGTCCTTTCTCCATGCCCTTCCTTGCCCTTTCATCATGTTGATGGTTTCAGTAAGCGACCCGGTTGCAGAAACAAAGGGTTACATAAGCCTTGCAGTAAATTTGAAGAAGCAGTAAGTATTTAATTTTAATTAAAAGGCCCCAAGGGATGTTTAAGGGAATTTATCCCTGGAATATTGGGTACCTCAGTTGAAGCTGCATCTGTGCCAATATTGTAAACCTTTTCCTATTTTCCTGTCCCTTAAATCTTCATCTTGTTTAGACCAAAGTCTAGTTCTGGCTTGCTCATTCTAGGACAGATTCTGGGTCTTTAAGTCACAAATTGACTCCCTGTTGAGTTACTGACTTTCATTAGCAGCAGATGCCTGTTTCTTTCCTTTGTCATGGTAATAGAGGGCAATATCTTTACTCTAAAGATGAGAGAATGCTTGGAAACATTTGCAAGCAGGTAGGTGAACAAAGGAGTGAGAAGTGGATCTCAAAATTTCAAAGAAAAATAAATAAATGGGACACATCAAAATCTTGTTTCAATGGTGGTAGTTTGTTTGTTCGCTTGTTTGTTTCCCTCAGTGAAGCTGTTAAATCTTCGAGACTAGATGGGTTTTCTAATTGAGTGTTAGCACATGTTTGCTTTGGATGAGTTTGTGTGCTCTTGGTGGTATGGCTTGGCATCATTATTAACATTGTATCTACTGGGCACACCCTTGAGAGCCTTGTTAGGACCCCTGCTCTCACCTCAGAAGTGGTAGCTGTAGTATGTTTAGGCCACTAGATAGCAATGTTATTCAGTTAGGCAGATGGCAAATTTTTTAAAAATTTTTTAATTTTAAAATAAAGCTAAGCTTTATTAGAAAGATGTAACCATAAAGTTATCTATTAAATGGAAATAACATTCCAGTTTGAACAAGAATTTAAAATGAAAATGGTAGACAGATTGGGTAGGTCTATGGTTTTGTATCTTTCTGCTTTGCCAACCTTTGATGTCTTCTCCCGCCCATCCATGATGCACACATAAATTAGCATCCTAAATACACTCCCCAGCCAGGTGCAGTGGCTCACACCTGTAATCCCAACACTCTGGGAGGCCAAAATAGGTGGATCACCTGAGGTCAGGAGTTCAAGACCAGCCTGGCCAACATGGCAAAACCCTGTCTCTACTAAAAATACAAAAAATAGCTGGAAGTGGTGGTGAGTACCTGTAGTCCCAGCTACTCAAGGGGCTGAGGCAGGAGAATTGCTCCAACCCAGGAGGCAGAGGTTGCAGTGAGCCAAGATCACGCCACTGCACTCCAGCCTGGGCAACAGAGTGAGACTCCATCTCAAAAAACAAAAACAAAACCACTCTCCATGACCTGGTCAAAGTTCTGAAGAACTTGGGCAGTCACTCAACATGTCTAAGCCTTTGTTTTCTGTAGTAACTATTTCATAGGGTTTTGTGAAATAATAGACATAAGTATCTGCTTAACAAATATTCATCATCTTATTGTTATTTGCAACTTCGTTATTAGGTCAGATTATATCTTAAACTTTCCCTTCCATTCTTCCTGATTCTTAGACATTTGAAATTCTTTAGCCTTAGAAGCCACTTGTTACCATCTGTTCATTAGCAGATGATGACTTATTTACTGCCATAAAAACTCATACCTTTGATGGTGATATTTTATAAGTTTTTGTTTGTTTTAAGGCTGTTTTTCTCTACTAAATCAATGGAGATTCATGTGCTCCCCTGATAGCTCCCCTAAATTCTTCTGTGTTTTTTATTACTGTCATTTCTACTGTGCTTCAGGCAGCAAGATGTTTCTCCCAGTAGGCAATACCCATCCCTTACTAACTACATGACCAAGGAATGAAAACTCATTCCAATTTTTTGCAGTTTAGTTTCTACAGAGATTTATTTAGGATTTGAAATTTTGATCTGCAAGCAGTTCTAGTGTGACTCCTGCCTGAAATCCCCTGTTGACTGACTTATTTTTATAAGCAGTAAAAACTTTCCTGTTCTTTCCTACTGTTATCTGCCTGCTCTTTCTTTTAAATGAGTTTAAGCATATCTACAATTTATTATAGCATATTGAGAAAAATAGCTTAAAGTAATATTTCTCTGCTTCCCCAAACCTTTATTCTATAAAATATTTCAAAAAGGTGGCCTAAAAGTGATCATTGAGAAATAAGTTAAAATACTGGGGACAACAGAGTGCATTGCCTCTAATATTGTGCCTTTACAATGTGAAGGCAGTGCTCATACCATTCAATATTTATTAAATTAGTATGTGTGGTAAAATGTACACATATATTTAACATACTGTTTATTTTCTGTTTCCAGAATAGTAGTATTAATTTAGCATCTTATAATCAATTAGGGCAGAATTGTTAAAGGGAAGTGCAAAAAATGGCTGGGAAGGAAAGGCATTCATATAACTACAAGATGATGTTTTAAAAATATTTTGTTATTTTTGAAAACTGCTGTGTATTCACAGGTTCAATGGTTACCTCTCCCATTTCCTTACCAACTCCATACAAAACTGTAAAGCAATATGATTATTTTAAAATGAGAAATAATTCAAATGTTCCATGAAGAAAGGACCCACAGTCAAATTTGGGAGATGATGTATCTCTTTTGAAGAGTCACAACATACTTTGGCATTGGAGGTCTTCTAAGAAATTTAATGATAAAGATATTTATTTAAATATGCTTAATCCAGCATTTCTCAAATTTATTTTTACCTCAAAAATTCTTCCCCAGACCACTTAGTAATGCTCTTTTGGGAAGATAGACTCAAAAACATTCTTCCCAGATAGATTCATCATGAAGAAAGTGTCTGAGTGTAATTATGTTAGTCAAAACTTAAATATACATGGTAAATCTCTAATAGGTACTCTTACCCTTAAATTAAATTATTTTGTAAGCCACATTAATTATTTGGGATCAACAGGATGCAAGGCTGTCTATGAGTTACAAAATTTGGCTATATAGTTACCTTTAGTTTAAAAACCATCCTGTATAATTAAGCTGCTGATTAAAAGCCTTATCAAAACTTAAAATGAGAAGTGACTGAATAGCAGTTTATCGAATCCAATCTTTCTTACTCCACAGTTGAGGAACTGTACATTAATGGTTTGCCCAAGGCCCTATAACTGATGGCAGACTCAGATTTCTGGTTGCTAGATCAGGTTTACAGCCAATATGATTCTATTTTCTGAAAAAATTCCACTCAACTTGCTTTTCTTTATTTATGGCAATGAGACAGAAAATGAGAAAAAGAAAGGCCTTTTTTTCTTCCATGAATATGGAAATTAATAGTTTGAATTTGTAATCTTGGTGGTGAAAACTGCTGTGTATTCATAGATTCAAGAGTTACCTTTCCCATTTCCTTACTGAAAAAGAAAAAAAAAAAAAAAAACCATTTTGTGTAGGCAGCAATATGCCCAGACTCAGGGAATAAATTCTGAATGCTCTAAGCCAGTGCTAACTTCATCCTCTTTATCCCACTTCCTGGTGTGAAAATCAGTATCTGACCAAGTCTATCCAGTAGGATATAAAGAGATGATTCTTTGGTGGGGAGAGGATAGCTTCTTGGAAATAATTCTTTCCCTGATAAAAGAAGACAGACATGCAAGGGAAAAATATTTGCATCCCCATTCCTTCGTTTCTGCTGGGATGTGTAGATGGAAGGATACGATGTTGGAAACCACTGCAGCTGTCTTGTTATCATTCGGAAAGATGTGGCTAAGAAGATGTGGATAGTCAAGCAGAAAGCTAAGATGTTGCATCTCCAGACTCCTTTCTGAATGCTGTAAAATGTTCCTGTTATTGTAGCCACTGTTAACTGGGCATTTTGTTACTAATCCTTATATCATTCTAAAAATATTTTTAAAAGTCACTTAATTGTTTCTGGTCCCTTGCGCTGGGCCATTTCAAAGCTCTAAATTATATTCTTTCAAATAAAACAGAATGGACTTCTTTTTACATCTTGTCGTTTTACTATGAGACTATCTAAGAAGTGATTTGCACATTCTTATTATCTACTATTATAACTGCAAAGGCTGAGAGTCATAGACTTATGCCATAAAGTTGTATCCCTGATTGCCTTGGTCTCTCTAAGAACTCCTCAGACAGCTAAGTGTCAAAGGTAACATGATACGCAAGTATGCTTTCTGTTTATATTTACCTTGGTCAAAAAAAAAATTACTGAATAGTAGAACAACTGAAAATACAGAATAGAGAGATTAATGGGGACTATATAAATAAAGGGATGAAGCTGAGAAGCTCTCAGAATGGAAGTAATATAAAATTCCTGAGGCCAAAAGGGCACTTTAAGAACTGAATGGGATACATAATATAGTTTATACCTAAACATGTCACAGTGCAGATTATAAAGGATTATAAAGAAAATCTTCAAAACTTTTGAAAAGAGAAAATTTACTTACCAAGGAATAATTATTAGACTAAAATCATATTTCTCAGCAACAGTAAAGGCCAAAAGGCAATGAACAATATCTGGCTTACTAGAAAAAAATACTAGCTGGTCTTTCTTCCTTCCTTCTTTCCTTCCTTCCTTCTTTCCTTCCTTCCTTCCTCCCTCCCTCCTTTTTTCCCTCCCTTTTCTTTTTTTTTTTTCTTTCTTTCGTCTCTCCCTTCCTTCC